ATTAATAACGATGTGAGAGAAGCACATAAATTGGTTGCCTCCTGCACAAGCCCTGACCAGGGCCTGGGCCTCCCCACTGGATGTGCCTGCAACCAAGGTACATGCCTTGACCAGAATCGAACCTGGGACCCTTGAGTCTGCAGGCCAATGCTCTATCCACTGAGCCAAACCGGTTAGGGCAATTAATTACCTTTTAATGTGCACGAATTTCATGCACCAGGCTACTAGTAATATAATAAAAAAACAAAAGCGTTCAACAAAATCCAACATCCTTTCAAAATAAAAAACATTCAACTAACTATAAATGGAAGGGAACCTTCTCAACCTGATAATGAGCACCTACTGAAAACTTAGTGGTGAAAGACTGAAAGTTGGCTAAGGTCAGGAATAAAATAAGGATATCCACTCACACATCTACTAGCCCGAGCAACTAGGCAAGAAAAAGAAATAAAATGTATCCAGGTTAGAAAGAAAGAAGTAAAACCACCTCTATCTGCAGATGCCATGATCTTGTGTATACACTATTCTAATAAATCCACTAAAAATCTATTAGAGCTAATAAATGAGTTTAGCAATGTTTCAGGATATAAGATCAATATGCAAAAATCAACTGAATTTCTATACAACTGAACAATCCAAAAATGGAATTAAGCCTACTATATCCATAACATTAAATGTGAGTAAATTAAACAATCCAATTAAAAGGCAGAAATTGTCAGACTGCATAAATAAACATGATCGATCACACTATATGTTGTCTGTAGAAGACATACTTTAGATTCAAAGACACAAATAGAAAGAAAATATAAGGATGGAAATAGATATATTGTGCAAACAGCAACTACAGAAAATATAGATGCAAAATATACTAATAATAGATTAAATAAATTTTAAATGACTTACATACATATACATCAAAATATCTGATGAAAATGTCCAGTGCCAGTTTATTAAAATGAAATGTAATTATTATGCAATATAAGATAAATTTAAAATGTATACATTTGGAGGTCACTAGGAAAATTTGCCAAGCAATTAAGTTCTAACTTCTGAGATTCTATATAAGGTAAGTAATTTTTTAGATAATATGATACATTGGAGATGGTAAGATGCCTTGAATCTCATATTATTAGTATGTCATAGAATAGTAGAGAGCCCGGCACAGAGGCTTTTGCCCGATAGCCTCAGGCAAAGGCGAGATTAGCACCTCCCTAGAGGACAGTAGTTCTCTCACTGCAGACACAGCTGATTCTCACAGCCACTTGGCCTGTGCCAAATCCCCCCTGGTATTAGCTACAAAAATCAAGGCTTAACTAAAAGACTGCGCACAAAGACCACTAGGGGGTGCACCAAGAAAGCATAACAAAATGTGTTTCCTGGGAGACGGTGCCGAGCTCAGT